CCCTGTAAATTCTGAGAGAAGCAGTGCTGCAAATAGGCAGCCAAGAGCTGCCCTTCTGCTTTATTTAACAAGGAACATAGCAAGGTGCTTGAGAAACAGTTTTTGTTCCAATCCCTCATCCCTCATATTTCACAAGTGCAGTATTTACTGTGCCAAGCTCCGTAATATGTCTAAATTTAATTTGATTCCAGTAATGTACCATAACCCCTATAATAAAAAAAACAAAGATAACAATGATTCTCCATCTAAATCACATAATGGATGAGACTGAGGGGAGCAACCTTTATGGCAGATTAGTCAAAATAAATAACTATTAAGCTAGTCCACTGTCAGGAGAGGACGGTGTAGAGATAACAGACTCATTAGCTCAGCTGGAATATAGTAATTACTACATGGTTCTGCACAGCCGCAAGCTAGCTTCTATTCCAATGTATGGACTGCAATTTATGTAAATAAAGAAGAAGCCAGCAAATGCGTCTGAGGTAGTTAGATATCTTTCTTTCTTTTTTTTTTTTTTGGTAGAATCACAACACACAGCTAGTAGTGTGAGTCTCAGTATCACTGTATCACCTATCTTGACTAACAGTTGCAAAGACAAGGCAGATTCTTGTGTTCAAAATTCAGACACATTTCTTCCCTTTTTCCTTTCTCTGACTCTCTAACTGCCTGTACCACCACCTGAGTGAAGGATGATTTTCTACTTCACATTAGTGATAATAAAATAACAGAACTGAGTTGGGTGGCTCTAGTCCTACATATGAATAGATGGTGATGCTAAACACATCATTATGGAAATCTTCAATATGTAGTAGGGAAATTATAAATACATCTTCTCTGCTATAAACTATATTTGAGATGGAAGTGGCGTAATTGCAAGTTCAGAGAGAGACAGTTCCACATCAAGCACAGTTAGCTGATGAAATCATAAGGCCTTTTAAGTGATAGGCGTCACTAAGAGAGACCTGTTAAGTATTTTATTATTTGACCTGAGGTAACTGTCCCCTTACTTTGCACATCAGTTGATGTCACATGGGGTATGCTAAAGATAATTTTAATTTAAATCCTTAAGTCAAAAATTAACTTTGGATTTGGATTTATTGATTCAAATCTATGAGCCAGGCAGTTGGCCCAACATCTGTAATTAAAACTAAAACTAAAATCAAAAAAAAAAGTCAGACTCCCAGTGATTGCTCCCGTACATCCAGTCCCCAGAAACAGCCTGTGAAATCCAGATTTGTGGTGCAACAATGCAAAGTCAACAAACCTGTGCCTCCACCAAGCTAACAATGAAAGCAAATAAAACAGTCCCAGCAAACACAGACACACCACCTTGCCTTCGTTATTTTAACCAGCAAAATATTTATAATTCAAAGAAACAGTCAAAGAAAAAGGGAGCCCAGTCTGGCAGGCATTTTATAAATGTGTAATACTGCATACCTTAACAGTTGCTTACTACCTCCTTCAGTGAAGCATACTAATGAGACTGCTTCTGCTGTACGCAGACTAGCATTAATAGCTGTCAACCTGTGCAGGTGTCAGGCTTTAGTTCTATGTAAAGGCAAAGGAAAACGTGTCAACAAGAACATTATGCAGTCAGTCTGCAAAGGCTGTTTTACAACCCGTAGCTACGACAGTAAACGCAGCAAGCAGCAACGTTTTTTAACAATCAGTAGAAAACTATCTGGCTATTGCTTCTTCTATCATTCTGAATATTTAAGCAGTGATTAGCATTTGTGCTCTGTGCAAAACTATAAACTCATAGACAAAAATAACCATTTTAAATGTTTCCGAATGTTTTGCTGAGTGCTGTAGTACAGCCGACAAATGACAGACAACATTTGTGACATTGGGCTACATGCGCTGGAGCCAAGTATCAGAAAAAAGCAGATTAATTTGCCTTAATAATAGTTTTAGTAGAAAAAATAATTTGTATAAACTACTGGCTAAAAGGTGAAATTTTGCAAGTCGTGTTAAAGCAGAAAACTGGCGTTTAAAGCAAACAGAAGTGATTTTTTGGGTACCCATCATGATCGTAACAGATGCATCATTTGTTGGCTAATGATACAGCACAGTGGTTTTTATCATCTAACCATAGCCACCAAGCTCCTAGCATGTTTGTTTTAGCTAAGACAACTTAGGATCCCTCATATTCTTACAGAAACATGGACAAACAAGAGACGAGTCAGACCGTCAGTGTTCTGAATTGCCTTCTGGTCTTTCAGAGCAGGTTTAGAGTATTAAGACCTGAATATCTCTCCGGAAGTATCTGTGCTTCTCTATATGCTGCAGGGATAGTATGACCAAGTTCCTAGTGTAGGCACATCATAAATGTCTAACTTCAGCTGAATGAATCCCCCTCTACTTTCACGGCCAGGCCTTGAACAAGGTTCTAACTTGAAGCCTCAGCAGGGGAATTCTCACAAGCTGTGTCCATCAACGCAGCTTAATGTTGAACGCCATTCCTTGTGATTCAGAGGAAGCTTTCCATTGATGAAGCTTGGGAACACTTCAGGACACACTCATCCTTTAGAGAGGCTGTGCTTAACTTTACTCACATGCTACTCCGAGGTGGCCAGGTAGCTTCCCTTTAGCAGACTGAGTAGCTGCAGCTTCTCTTCCTTTCTTCCTGGGGATGCTATTAATACTACTCCCGCTCTCCTTCAAACAGACTTAAAGATTTATGAGAGGCCTATATGGGAAACCTGCCATCACAAAACTTCAAGCGGGATTATATGGGACACTCAGAAGTGATGGCAGCTGAGAGGACAGTAGTACTTGTCTTTCCATTCAAGCTTAAGGCCTTTCACACAAAACTTAACAAAAACTTCGATGGCATGCCAAGAAACCCGAAAAACTAAAAAGCAAGCAACAAGTACATTCTAAACTAATCCTGCTACCTAACTCTGCCTGCTGCTAAAGCAGGAGCAGCACATGCTATTCTCTGAATATCTTGAAGTTGCTGAACAACTGTAACTGTGAAAGAGCCATCCTCTCCGAGTTTTCATATGATGCCAATAACCCTCTCTTCCTCAGTGCATCCTTCACCCACATCCTTCACTCTTTACAACATACAGGGAATACAGGGGCCAGGGAGAAAGACAGGCTAGATCTCTTTAAGCTCGACATACTGACCTTCACCCACCTTTGCTTCTAGCTTGCTAATTATCACCTGCTGTAAGTAATGGACGTTAGTTCTGTAATGGGAACAGCAAATGTTTTGTCCGGTGCAGGTGACCTAGGGTGCAAGCCTTCTTGATGATGGTAAATGGAAGTTGTGATTGTTCTGAAGAAGATTTTAAAATCCCTTTTACTTTAATAACTTGAAAGTCATATTAAGAACCCTATCTTTAAGGCACAGCTTCCTGTCAGCTCCTTAAATGTTTGGATATATCTGATTTATAGTTGTCAGTGAGAATCTTATTTTGGCTCCCCTGTTAATAGACATAATAGCAATGTCTAACAGTGCAATCACATGCTATTTCTTAACCAGTATACAGAAGCGCACATAGGGGGTCAGAATAGGTTGCACAGGTAACTGCAGAACTGGCATTTTCTAACTCTGACTTTTTGATTTGCAATCTAAACAACACTCTCTTAGTGCAGGGGAGTACTGCACATAATTATATAGCTTGCAATAGTGCAGTCAGGACCCTATTGTGCTGGCATTATACAAACATACAAAAGATGGCCATCTTGAAATCCACAGGGGGACTTTCAACCCCTCCCATTACTACCACTCTTTATACATGACTCAGTGACAGAACATGTTGGTATTATATAGAGAATGTTTTTATGGCTTTGAAGTTACCTTATTCAGAAGATTCCCTACTAATCTGTTAGTCATCCTAAATGAAATCACTTCACTTGCCAGTGCAAGTGATCAACCTTTTGTGACTTATACCCACTAACTTCAGACTTTTCCCCAAAATATTCCTGAGAAGAAGAAAAATATGATGGCACAATGTTTGCTATAGAAACACAATGCTGTGTCATATCTGTAAGCGTTCTGCGGTCACAGAATTCCTATCAGACGACACAAGAACATACCTTTTAGCAGCCATACAGTTGTTTTCAGGAAGCGACTTCTTCAAAGAACAACAAATGAAGAGAGGGGAAGGTGAGTTGTGAACCAACAGGAAAGCAGTCATTGTTCTAGTGTACAACAGCTCTAAGTTTAGAATTTGTTGAAGAAGTAAAAGTCAGTGAAACTGTTATCAGCGTAACGTGAAGGATATGTTACCCAGCGATAGCATGTGGACGTTCTGGGTGCCAGCGGGTCTGACGACAGCGTATTAGCAGTGGCAATATATCTGCATTACTGCTTTCTCCCAGAAAGGAAATTGGGGTAGCAGGTGCTGTAGCAGGAGAGCTTAAGTGCGTTAGTTCTGAGAGAGTCTTTGCATTTGTAGTGAAAACAATAATGGTTAGCAGTCCTGGAGATTTAGAGAGTAAATGCTATCCACACAAACCTATACAAGTACAGTTAGCTGCAATACGAAGAGCAGAATCAAGCACAGTTGAGAGTTGGAAGACTTAAAAGGAGAAGGGTGATCGTAGGGCTAGGATTATTTGAAATCATTGGATCTGGAATTTTAGTCTCTTTGTACCTCAGTTCCCTACCCAGAGAACTCACTAAATACATGAGCTCTTTCAACACGGTTCTTTAGTGTTGTAACATAGACTAAGATTCTGATCTCAGTAGCTCTGGATGTAGATCTAGAAGAATTCTATTGAGGCCATATATTTGGACAGGTATAGTGCAGATCACAAACATCCTTAAATGTTGTTGCTGGAGGGAAAAAAAAAAAAATCAACAGAGGGCAATCTGGAAAACAATTCATATTGACACTAGGAGTCAGCAGTCCAAAGGGCTGAATCAGCTCTGTGGTTCCAGGGCCTGCCTGCACCACCTGATGCCAGGGTTATTAAGTCATGAATTCAGTCTGTGTATAGTGAAACTGGTTTGAACTGTATAAGGAATTTCAGACTCATTTCAGTACCTGCTCCACGAAATCCTCCACAGAGGTACAGCTTCCCTTCCACGGAGCCTGCGCTCGTAGAGTTTGTTCGTAAGGAGAGGAGAGGAGAAGGCATAGGAGGCCCATCCCTCCAAAAGTCTCCATCAGGGTTATAAATCTCCACTGCATCAAGACATTTCCGTGTCTGCCCCCTGTCACAACCAAGGCACCCAATTCCTCCTGCAAAAGAAGATATCTAGATCAAATATAGCAGCCACAGGCTCCCACTGAAAAATACATTGTTGGTTGCATCATTTTTTGTTTACATATCCTCATTGCACTCCTTTTCTTTTCCCTTTTTCAGCTCCAAAAGCTTACTGGAAAGTAAACTCAAAGCAGAAGCCACTGCACATTATCTACAGACATTCAAGCAAGTGCCTTTCTGAAGCTTGGTATGAAGAGAAGGACAAGGAGCACGTCTTCAAAAAGTAAAGGTATTTTGTCTTGTTTTCTGAATATGAAGTAGAAATTCTCATAATTACTGATTCTGTGTGCTGGACAAATCACTAGCATTAAGTTGTAGCGTATTAAAATTTTTTCCAGTTAGTGTTGTTAGTGTATTTGACCCTCAGACTTGTTAACCAATGATCATTTGGATTTGCTTGCGTCTTTTTCGACACAAGATAAAGATTTCACCCTTTTCTCAAGGGAAGTCGGCTTCAAGAAACAAATTTGACTAATTTGCAGAAGTGCTGATTGAGTCATTTGTGATGAATCCCACAGTGGAAGGGTTAATTAGGATGCCTGGAGTCGGTCTGCAGGATTGAAACAGATCCCAGTTTTCATTTGCTGGGACATACTGCAACAGGCTGCAGAAACACCTGCAATCTCAGTGCATACTGCAAATGCTGTACACTGAAAGCATAGCATAAACACTGCATTTCCAAATTCTTTCCAGTGATCAAATCCAGGTTTTGAATTCACAGCCTTTAGTTCTCCAGAATTAATATGCTGACATACCCTAGCAGGTTTTCCATCTGTGCCAATGGATACAATACCCTATAATGAGCACTGATGGCATGCTAAAGCAGTTCTTTTAAATATAAAATGACAGCAATATGTATGCAATTTCTACATGAAGGGCTAGCTTTCCAGATACACTTGTAGCACCGCTCGATTGTACAAATCCAAAATGGATGGCACTGCATGTAATTGTACCTTTGCATATAGAAAAGAGAATGACTGCAAATATAACCTGTGCAAAGTCGGTGAGGGTGCTTTTAAAATACATTGCTTCAGCGCAGTGCTGTTAAGATGATCTGTCAGATAGATAGATGAACTTCTAGTGCGTGACGTTCTGCTCACATATGGTTTTCCATCTACCTCTTAATTTGGACTGCGTTCTTTTTTAATCCTTTGTGCACTCTCCGAAGGTATTTGCAAGAGGCTATGTAAGTAGGGACCATAATGCTCAGAATTTGCCTTCACTGTTTTCTAGACCTGTATTTTTGAGATGAGTAAAGCACTTATCCCTGCATCAGCACAGCCAAATTAGAACCAAATTCAGTGTCCGTTATCATCAGTGGGAAGCCTTCCTTCAGCTGAACTTAGTGGTGTTTGATCCAGTTTAAAATTTGAATTTTGAATTCATATGTGCGTATAGTGCTTACTTTGACATCCAGTGTCAGCATCTCCATTTGGTAGGTGATAGCTTTGTTTAACTATCACTCAAAGAAGGCTGTCACCTAAAATCTAATGAGTTGAGAGCCCTGGCACCCTAAAGACTCATTTTTAACCCAGCTGGGACTTTCGAGATACCTATCCAGTATTTATCTGCAGCTCGGCATTTGGTGGACAGCGTTGTCAAGAAAAGTTTTAGGAACTAATCGGACAAATTCTTCAGTGATAAGACTATAACTGATTGCTTATCATAAAGTCTTTTTGATTCTATAGTATCCTTTGGTAGAATCTGAATAGTAGGCTACAGCATGCAAGATAATTTGCTAACAGGGGTATGTACAGACTACAGGGTGCAGTGGAGCCTAGAGAGAGATACCCAAGTCAGTTTTAAATGGGAACCAATGATATTAAAAGCTCTCCACAGATTAATTTATTCTCCTCAAAAGGTAGCTCCATAGTGCCAAAGAGAGACTGCTGCTGGTTATCAAGCTAGCTGTTTTAAAGTTACCTCAGATATTACTATACTACACTGAAGAATATCCACTCACCTGTAGACAGAGTCTTCATCTGAAGAATGAAAGAGCATATTATCCAATTAGATGAAAAATGGTACCAACTAGGGGACGCATACAGCATATCAGAGTCAAGTAAACAGCTTTTCTAATTGCCTTATCATTTCATGGGTGCCAGTGACCAAAGTGCCCCAGACCTTTTCTAGGAGCGTAATTGATTTTTATTTATTTCTTAGTGCATTTTTATTAACATTTTCAAAGTTCAGTAATTGTGGGGCATAGTAACTTAGGAAAGAATAGAAATAATCAGGCAATCAGGTACAGAACTGATACAGCGCAATTAGTGGCTTCTGCAAAAAATCCTAACCATCACCAGTTAGTGAAGACATTCAGCTGGCAACCAAGGGGAGCAGCCTTCAAACATTTTCTGTGTATAATTATTAGAGAAAAAATCTTTTGTGACCTATTGGAGCTTTTTTACAACAGCTTAAGAGCTACCATATGTTTTCAAACATTTACAGAACCTTCATTGAATAGTTTAACTCCTGTAAACCTATTATACTCAGACAGGGACGGTCCTGAATGTACAAAATATCTCCATTTTCTTTATACCCTCAGCTATTTGAGGTAAATCCATTTAAGGTTAATTTTACAACAAACACAAAACTAAGTTCTTGGCAAATAGAAAATGAGAAGAAAATCAGATGGGAGTAAAGTTTAATTTTCAAGCTTAAAAAATAGCATTCCAAACAATAAGAAATCAAACTCACAGAAGAATTTCAGTCTCCTCTTTTAAAGCAATGCTAACATTGAAATATTGTCAACAAAGGAATTTGAGGATATTAGATTCTGCCAGCAATCTAATGCTAATGCAGTCTAATCTACTGCTTTCCCATATTTCCAGATGCGGTAGTTCAGAATTTCTCCTGTGAGGCAATACGCTTTTTTGCCCCCTCTGTAGAGACTGATGTCTTGGGCCTTTTCCCAAAGAACAGAATACACAAATCAGCAAGAAAAATTTCCTTGAAACCTTGAATTAACCCTCATCTGCAACTGAGTGGAGGCATCTCACATTAACCGGACTATCCATCATATCTACAATGTGTCTACCGTGAAAGACTTCAAATTGTCAGGGAAAAAAAAAAAAAAAGGCAATTTGATGTGTCAGGCAATTCACCCTCCTTTGTACTCAGTCACTCAAAGGTCCAGATCATCCTATCTTACTATCTTCTTTATACATTATGAAACCATTAGGAATACAAGTGTAGACATGTGGAATTCCAGTTAAGACCGTGAAGATTCTCTTTATTTTATTTCATCTTCTCCGAGTAGAGCAGTTGAACACGGGAGTTTATGCTTTGTTCCTACAGGGGCCTCTGCATGAAACGGAGGTGACCTTGAAGGGGCCAAGGAAGAAAGCAGTAAAAAGGGCAGAGGGTTGTAGGTCATTTGAGGGAGACTCTTGTGCCAAGTGATCTGCCAAAAGTACATGGATAGGAGGGGTAATTTCTGTGTATTTGGAATTTTGCACTTGTGATTGTGTCTTAAACCACCGAGAGCTGTACATGGGGTCATTAAAATACATATGCTGTGGTCCCAACCTCCCAGAAGTCCCAAAAGGTGTTCAGAAGGGCAGCAATTGCTATTCCATGCCTAAGAACCGGAGTGGACACTGTGGAAGGTCTCGCATTATTAACCCCCGCTCACCTCTCTTGTCATGAACAGAGTAGGTGAATTCAATACCACCTGGTTTAATTCTCTGCATAAAGGCCAATTATAAGGCCTTTGTGCAGGGAGAGATGGATATCTCACTGGGAGTTTTGGACATTTCTGTCATTTTCACATTTATCACACAAGAGGTTTTACTCTCAGAACTCAGTGTCCCCTTTACAAAAACACCCTTTCAACATGTTAGGCTTTTTGCATTATTTGCTTTCCCTGGGAGATATTTCAGATGCCACTGAAAGACTAAAATAAGCCAGTGAAGCCACCTTTGTGTTCCCAAACCCATTAATGCTTGAGAGCTTTCCATATCACGCTTGGATGATTCCACAATCAAACGTACTTTCAAGGGCACTCCGTAAGCGGTGGTTCTAATGGGCTTTCAATTTAACATGAAGCTCCATTAGTAAAATAAATATATAAATACAATATATGATCTTTATTAAGAAATCAGGATAAGGAAGACAAGCCTTTGATGCGAGAAGGCAAAGCAAAGTAGGTGATGTGATTACTACATCTTCAGAATTTCAATGAGATACTCTGCCTTGCTGTACACACACACTGTTCATAAATGGCTGAAGGCAAAACATGCTGTTTTGCCTTAGGTCAGCTGCCTCCTTCTCCTCCCATTCTTATTTGGGGAGACTAAATGCAATTTGAATCACATCGGTTCTAATAACAGAACACCCTTTCAGCAGAAGAGTGGGAATGTCTGTGAAGTGGTAAATAAAGCCCCTAGTAATAATTAGTTCAGCTGAAGGAAAGAAGATAAGTGCCTTAAAGGTACCGTATGTATGCGTATATGTATCTATGGGAGGGGACTAACATATTGCTAGGTTTCAAGAGGTAGGGAATATTCCTACCTGCACTTGCCCAGTGACTTCACTTGCATCGCTGGAGCTAACGCTTGTGAAAGTGGACGCTAGTGCAAAACAGCTACACCAATCCATAGGAATTGGGCACTAACATAGCAAGATTTGCCAGGCAACTGAGTCCAACCTGGACAATTCGGTTTTCAGGTTAGCTATCTAGATCCAAATCTGGATTGCTCAGCGCAGTGCATTAACAGGATAGCTTACCAAAATGATACCTACGAGGTTGTTCATAGCCCAGATAGAACTGAAAAGAGCCTACATACTTCATTTAGAGGGGAAATGGTGATTGGGACCTCTGAATATCAGACTTTATACATTTTAGTTTGATTCCCCCACAAACAAAGAGCTAAAATTAGAGCTAACCTACAGTCTCTCAGCTGGGGCAATATGTCAGGAAGTAGCAAGAGCAGGGCTAGCAGGGCTGTTCCCTAAGGGAAGGTGAGCTGTACAA